GTCTCCATGCAGGACAGGCATGCTGGATGCTCCCCTTCTGCACAAAGCTGTGCCAAGGATTGAAACACGCCAAGGTTGGAGCGAGAGAAGCACAGGGAAAAGTGCTTTGCCTGCAAAGGGTTAAGATCAGAGAAGAGACAGGAGCTGGCCAAGTGCCAAGGCAAGCCTCCAGCTAAACCCAAGGTGGGCCAGCCAAGAGGCAGAGGCTGCTGCCCTCTCCCAGTAACCAGCTGCTGTCCTCCCCCAGTAACCCAGCCTGCTGTGACCCATCCCCACAAATAGCTCTGGCACCCAGCAGGCTTTAGTAACACAGTGACAGGCCATTTACAAGGTGTTGCTAAACACTGCTCCTCCAGCTGGGCTCCTTTCTCTACAATAATTACAAATAAACCCATAAACATGATTTTAGCCCTACTGGTCTAGGCAAAAAGGGGTATTTAACAGTTCTTCTCCAAGGTGGGGATAACTTACACAAGATCTCTTTTCCAGCACTGAGATCCACGTGTGCTTTTGTCTGATTTCAGGTGTGCTGAGCAGTTACTGACTCAGCTGATTCTGGGCTGTGCAGGATGAGTGTGCCCAAGACCAAATGTCATTACTAAAAGCAAAGCTGGATTTTCCTCGAAGTCATCACAACCCCTGCTACCAGTACAACGTGCAAATTGTCACGTTGGGCCACAGCCTGTTCCCCACTGACAAACCTGCTCTGCTGAGGTTTTTGAGCTGCAAGGACAATTTACCATGGGCAGACACGAGTTAATGTGAGAGCAGCTTAATGCTCTGCTCATCACATCATTGCATGGCTGGCAGGGAATAGTTACCAACCAGATGACATCAAAAATCATATTTAGACATTAACAAAGCTATAGGGATGACACAGCTATGAAGGGAAGAAAAACCAGGTAGAGTGACCCACAGTTTAAAACCGGTGTGTTTTTAAAATTTCTGTTAAAAGAATAGAAAACCCCTTTTCATTTGGTTTTACTGCAGACTTTGAGAGCTCCTATATTACTTCCCAATGCTTGCAAGGGAGAGAGGAGCACTCATACCCCTATTTTACACCAGAAGACTGAAACACAGAGGGAATTGTCCATCCCAGCCTATGTGAGAAATGAATCCAGAATGCACAGATCCTACTTTTTCCCTAGCATTAGATAGCCATGAGTTACCCCATGTGCCCATCAGAATACACTGTGTTCCTTACAGCAGGTAGACCCAGAGGTCTGACAGTCTCTCTGGGGTTATAAATGAAGTTCTGATGTGCCAAGAACTGCAGGCCCAGAGCAGCCAACGTGACCGGGGCTTTCACAAGCCCTGCATAAACACCAGCTCAGGAAGAGCAAATGCAAACCACATTTCCACAGACCTTTTCCCCAACCACAGGGACCTTGCCCTGGGAAAACAGCTGGAAGAGAGGCACAGACCCAAGGGTCTAAGAGTCAGCTATCAAGGAACAAAGGGTGGGAACATAAGGTTTAATATGGGAATTGATCTGGGAGAAAAAGTCAGCAAGAAAGAGAGCACAGAGACAGGCAAAAAGGAAATTTACTTTGGACTCAATCTTATAAACAATGCAAGATATTTTTGTGGATGCTGCTCCTCACCTCGGCTGCTCAAAGGTCCACCCACAGCTACTGACAGACAGGCAGCCCTTGTCACCCAGAGCACAGCTCTGGGGTGGAAGGGACAAGGATGGAGGGCAGGTCACCATGAGCAGGAGGGAGTGGGGAGCACATCCTGCACCTCCCAACGCCTCACCACCACTCTGACTGGAGCTCTTGGCTCTCAGGGGAAACCCAGCAACTGAGCTGCCCTTGTTCTGCAACACAAACCTGTCTGCTCAGCCCACACCTCCCAGCAGACCGGGCTCCAGCCTCAACCCCGGACACAGGAAAGCTGCCCCAAAGCTCGGGAGGGACAGCACAGCCCAGGCTGCCCCTGCCTGCCCAGGCACAGAGGAAGGAGCCAGAGCGCCCACGCCGGGCTGGGCTGTGTCCATACCACAGCAATGTGTGCCAGCACTGCCGGTGGCCACAGCCTGCAGCTCACAACAGGTGGCTTCCAACAGGAACAGCCCGAGCTGCCTTTGAACTGGTGCCCAAGCACAGAAAGCTCCAAGCTCCATCCTCAGCCCCCTCAAAATTTTCTTCCCAAGACCTGTGTAGGGAAAGGAAGAGGAGTCTGTACGTCGAGTCCCCTCATTAGTGGTTTTCTCTGCTGCTCAGGCACAGTGCAAACATCCCTTCTATCTCGTTAATGCATATAAATATCTCCAAGGGATGCCAAGAGGATGTGCCAGACTCTTCCATGGTGCCCAGCAAGAGGACAAGGAGCAATAGCCACAAACTAAAACACAAAAAGTTCCACCTCGACACGAGGAAGAATTTTTTTCCATGGAGGGTGGCAGAGCACTGGAACAGCTGCCAGGAAGATCATGTCTTCCCCTCTGTACACACTCCAAACCCACCTGTTCCAGGTGACTCTGCCTTGGCAGCTGGGGTGGACTAGGTCACCTGCAGAGGTCCCTCCCAACCCAAACTCTTCTGGGATCCTGTGATCAGAGAACACCAGACCTACCTGCAAGACCTCCTGGACTTACACTCTCATCAACAAACAAGGCACAAAATGCAGCTTTACCCCTTCCCTTCAGCAGACCACAAGGCCAAAATTAGGGGCAAAAATAATACAACACACACAAAGCAGGGCTGAAAGGGCTTGGGAGAGCACTCAGCCCCAAGCCATGGAACTCCCTTTTCCAGATGCCTGCTGGATCAGCAGATCACAGGATCAGTGTCCTCTCAGCAGCAAGCTGTGATGGTGACACCAGTGTCACTGGGACAGTGTCAGTGGCTGCAGCTGCCTGCTGGGAAGCCAGGACATGAGGGATTCCCACAGGAACCCAGCCAAGGTTCAGGCTGGGTGCTGCACTCTTCCTTTCAAATAGCCAAGGTCTTGGCCAGCTCCTTTTGCTGAGGCAGGATCAAAGTCACTCCAGCCAACCCCAGTCAATCTGTTAATTGGGGCATGCTGTGGCTTCCACCACAACCTAATTTCTGTGGAAAGAGAGCAGGAACTGCCTCCCCCCTCTCCTCTTTTCCCCAGAACTGGATTGCTGCCCACCCTATTGCTCATCGCTTCTGAAGACTTACAGAGGCAAGAGGGATTTTATGTGCATTTAAATAACAACACTGCATCCTTCCTCTCCATCTATCCATCCATCCTTCCCTTTTCCCCTGCTCCTCTGATGTTTCCCCATGTTGTCATTATTCAGATGGCTTTTCAAAGGAAGGCCAGAACTGTTTCTGCTCTTATTTATCTTCACAAGGAGATGCTCATGGTTTAAGGCACCCTTGTCCTACAAACCTTTAGCCGTGCCAAGGAACCTCCCTGGACTCTTCTCATTCAAAGGGACCCTGTGGTATCTAAAGGAAGAATCTGTCAACTTTCTGAGCAAAATCTGACTGAACAAATACAACAGAACCACAGAATGGTTTGGGTTGGAAAGGACCTTAAAATTCATCTTACTTCACCCCCTGCCATGGGCAGGGTCACCTCCCACTATCCCAGGTTGCTCCAAACCCTGTCAACCTGGCTTTGAAAGCTTCCAGGGATGGGGCAGCCACAGCTTCTCTGGGCAACCTATGCCAGGACCTCTCCACCCTCACAGGGAACAACTTCTTAATAACATCCAACCTGCCCTCCTTCAAATTTAGGCCATTCCCCGTTGTCCTGTCACTCCTGGCCCTTGTGAAAAGTGAAATGAGCATTCAAATTCCCATTGGATTCCATCTCAATACAGGAGCAGGGGGGTGTTCACCCGTGGAAAAGCTGGAATGCAGTAGATAAGCAGGCTCCTAATGTCAAGTGCTTATCAGAGCCATCTCCTCACCTTTGTTTTTCACTCCCAGAGATATCCCAATGTATAAGGAAGAAGAGGAACAATAGGGGATACCCCGTCCCACCCATACAAGCTGGAATCAACGAGGGAGGGAGAGAAGACAGAATGGTGCTGGCATTTCAGGGAGCCCTTTTTAGCTCTGGCAGGAAGGTCAGAGCCAACACAGACAACTCCAACACAATGAGGTGCCCAAGCTAAATATAAACCTGACAAGGGCACAGCTACAGGAGTTTGTTTTTACAGTGAGCCACCAGACCAAGAACATTGTGCCACATCCCTGCTCAAAATAATTCACAGCTTTATCATCACTGACAGTCTTTGTGTTCCAGCAGAGGCAAAGCCCAGGCTTGCACCCACCTGCCAGTCTAAGTCAGTGAAATGATTAACCAAGAATGAGAAACAGCCAAACTTTTCCATTTCCATTATGCCATTCTAGGAAAATCTATGATGTTGCTCTCCTGTGATGGGATTACCTCACAGGCAACCCTTATCTGACTTCCTCACACACACACACACACACACACACACTGCCCTTAATGTCACGTAAACACGACAGCACTCAATCCCCCAGGCCCTTCCCAATAAGCCAAAACTCCTTTTCCTTAAACCAGGCCTCAAGTTGAGGTTTTTACACTTTGCTCACAGATATCAAGATTTGGTTGAGAAACTGGTTTTGCCTTACTCAGAAAAAAACAAGAAAAGGTGACATTTCCCCAGCAGAGCTGTCTCAGTTCTGGTTCTCAGAAGTGCAAAGATTTCTAGAGGAAAGGAAACTCTTGTGGAAGAAACACCCAAGGTGTTAAAAGCAAGGAAAAGAGAAAGTGCAAGAACAAAATTACCAAATTAGAGATAAAATATGCTTCATTCTCAGTGAAGCTAGAACTCAAGGATGCTATTTTTAAGTACAGTGGTAGGAAAAGAGAAAACCATGATGCCAAGCCAGCAACACATTTGTGGTGCCCTGGAGACGCTCGAGTGACTTGTGTGGCTGGTATTTAAGTTGGCATTTCTTGCTAGGCTTATGTTACAGCAGAGAAAACATTTCCTTACTCTCCAACTTGTACTTCTTGGCAATGGGCAGGGACAGCAGCCGGATGTGCCCGACGAGGGAGCCCCAGGCCTGGGCTCTGGAGAGCGGCGCCTCAGGAGGCAGGGGGTTGTAGGGCTGGATCACCAAATAAACAGTCAGCAACACCAAGCCCAGGGTGAGCAGACCCTGTGAGGGAAAACAGGCACACGATTAATCACACTGCAGGCAGCTGAGGTGTCCTCACACCAGGACATGCCTTCTGCTGGTATTTGTGGCTGTGCACCACAACATGAACACTCTCATTTTTGCTGTGTCTCCTCGTTCAGCTGCAATCCTATTTATGTACACAGAGGTGTCACCAGTTTTATTATTAGGGCTGTCCAAGGATGAAATTAAGCAGCCTTCAAACCCCAGCCACACAAACAACTCTGTTCCTGTATTTTAGCACTGCAAATAATCCAGCACGAGATCAATCAGGATTATCTACAGACAGTTCCTTTTCCTCCCTACCTAATCAAATAAAATTTGCACTCCTGCCATGCCTCTTGCACAAGGAAAACCCTGTGGCTTTTGCAAACATCCGTCAAGCCTCGAAACACTTTTGGCAGAGTTGGCACCAGCTCCCTCCTCCATACCAGAATCCCAAATAAGCCCTAAAGAGATGACATGACGCATTTCTCCCCCTGGCCAAAGTCAAACTGAATCAACAGTAAAAACAAGCACAGAAGCTGAAAGTTCAAATTTGCAGTTTCCTGTTCTCCTGCCTCATTTTACAGCTTTTTATAGGACATGAGGAAGAGAGCTTGAATTTTTTTCCAAATAAAACCCATTGCAATGAATTTGTAGGATGCCACTAAAGTATTACTGAATATTATGTCAGTGGGAAGCTTTTCAGACTTGAAGCAAACATCTGGTCTAGTGGAAGGTGTCCTGCCCAAGGCAGGGAATTGGAATTAGATGATCTTTAAGATCTCTTCCAACCCAAACCAGTCTGGGATTGAATGATCTCAAACCTACCTAACAATAGCATTCTTTCACCCACTTTGCAAAAGTTTTTACAGAATCTTTTAGTTAAGGCTTTAAAAACATTTTTCTACCATCAAGCATGATGCTATTAGGTTCATTTCATAGACCAGAAGGAGAATAAAGACATGCAGAAGTTTGTGGCAGGGTCAGAAACAGAACCATGTTTACTTCATTAACCAACCCTGAACTTCAAGAATCTCTTTCCTTCCTCACATTTCCCCTCAGGATGCCAACACTAGGAATCTTAGTCTGAAAAATCAATCCAAATCTCATTATTTAAGAATTTATGGGAGAGGAAGATGTTGACAAGGTAAACTTACAGCACGCATAAGCCATTCAAAATCTTGGGCAGCTGTCTCCTGTTCTCAAAGCAGCTCAAGGAGTGAAGGAAGGAAGCTACACTTCACAGATTTTTAAACAAAGATATTGGAAAATTCATCAAGAAAACACAATTGGAAATAAAAAGCTCAGGTGCAAAGGAGAACCCTGACCCTCAAATGCTGTGTTCATGCACAAAAGCCATCTTACCTTGTAGAGGGCCACTAACACAGGGTACCGTGGAGGGCCCCTCTGGGGCTCATTTCTTTCCAAGAGTTGCTTGATGAACTTCTCAATGGCTTTTTCTGACATGCCACACTGGTGGCCAGTCTGCCTCACCAGATCAATGGTCTCAGAGAGCTTGTCATAGATGCTGAGCTCGTTGGCTGAAAGCTCCATGGCCTCCGAGGAGAAATCCCTGAGGAGAGATGGGGTGTGTTAACAGCAATCAACTGCAGCCACACAACCCAACAGCCATCCCAGGAATGTGGCAGTGCCCAGGAGAGAAGGAAGGCTCCTCTGGAGCTCCCAGCACAACACTGAGCTGCACTCCTAATAGTCTCTGCTGGCTCAGGATCTCCTGCTGACTCAAAGAAGCCGTGAAATTTCCTGACAAGAGCAGAACCGGCTGAGATTCGCAGCTTATGTAAATGAACAAAGCTTTCCAGAAATCAATGAAATTCCATTTATTCATCTATTCCAAATGAATCCATCCCGTAAAGCAATTGCTCACCGAGTACAAAAGCCAACAATACAAAGCTGATCATCACACGCAGCAGCCCCGCTAAGCCCTCCCGCGCTATAATTTCAGCCGCTTATTTTAACCCAGATTTGTTTTCATTAAATCCTCCGTCAGCAATAGGGACAGCACAGAGCAAGAAGCAGAATGTGTGGGGCAAAGTTTGGCAGTTTACAATTTGTTTAAATTTTCGCAACCTAATGTCCAGGCCAACTGATTATTGAGTAACAGCAACGTGAGTGCAGCTGCTCTGCAGGCAACAAAGCCCCCACCTCCTTCTCCAAGTCTGCCTGCAGGTCAGAGATGCCACAGAACTAAATATCCCAGCAAGAACTGCATTGTGCTGGATGACAAAATGGCATTTGACAGCAAATTATTTCTCACTTATAAGAACACATCCATGAGAGATCAACATTAAGTTGTAAAAAAAAAAAAAAGTATATTTCTCTGCCTTCTCTGCCACAAAGGCCTGTTTGAGAGCAGCTGATGGGCTCAAGAAAAGATGCAAAGAAAGTGCTGGACAAGGTACAAGCTGCCAATGTGAGAATCACGTTGTAAAAATTTTCCCTTTGCCTGGGAAAAACACTGGGGAAAAGGCAGAATCTATAAGTTTGGCTTTGCCTCTTGTTTCTGAGCTGGGTAACACCAACCTGATCAAACTGGGCCAGCTGGGAGAGAGTTCAGCAATGCTCTGCCCTGAGAGCACAGCCTGAGGATCATCACATAAAAACACGAGAAGCACGATGGATAATCACAGCTGAAAACTGAAATCACGCCCCTGTCCCCATTTTGCTCTACAGTTTCCTGGCCCCAGGAACCAGCTCATGAATCCACTTCATCCAGTTCACCACTTTTCTCTCCAAATTCTGTCCCTGCACTGTGAGATCTGTAACTATTCACAGGGCTCTGCACAGCACAGCCCGCCTGGGAAAGCACAGAGCTGCTCTGCTCACCTGAGCACACACCGACCAGCCCTGAGTAATGAGCCACCTAAACTTAGATTTGCTCAGCTGTAATTTGTTCTGGCAGCTCCCACAGCACAAACCACCCATAACTCTATGTATGGATTGAACAAGACACATGATAAATTTCAGATTTAAACTCTGATTTGCCTTTAAAGAACTGGCTGACAGGTCTCCTCCAAAACACGGACTCCTACAAGTCACAACTCAAGCAAGGGCAATTTTAATATCTTCTTTTTAATGCAACACTGGGGTGTATTTTTAAAAAACCCCAGGTTTCATAGGACTGCCAGCTTCAGTGAATGCTTCCCTCCCCACAAGATCCCCTCTGTTCTGCCCTTGCACACTTGTTTATGTGGAGCATCAGATTGGGGAAATTATCTGGCTGAAAAATAACCCCGATTTGTTTGGTCAGCAGCTGCCTAAGCATTCAACTCCAGCAGTTAATGTCAGATGTTATATTAACATCAGTGTCAAATTTCTAGCCACAGCCAGAAAAACACCAAAAAGGTAAAAATGTCAAATTAAAACCCAACTCCAAGTACATACTGCACTGCATTGCTAGGTTAATTAGCTCCTGGCCCTCTTCTACCAACACTGCTTGCGTTCCATGCAAATATTTGTCCCAGATCTTGCCACCTGAGCAGCCCCATGGGCAAGCAAAGCAGGTTGGGTCAATAATATCTCATATTAACCTCTCCAAGACAAGGACTTTTTCTTCTCATCTGTAAAGCACCTGCCGTGCACGTGACAATAAAAACAAGCCATTGCTTTACTAACTCATTCATGCAATATCCTGATTCATGGAACAAGCAAGAGCCAGCACATCTGCAGGATATTAAAGGCCTTTTTTTTTTCCCCCTCCAGCATTTCTGGTTGCTCTAGTTGCCTGGCCACTGTAAGTGGTGTGGTAAGTGGTCTGAAAGGTTATCTAGTGTCCTCTGGCTCCCAAGTGCCAAAGCTTTCCTCCATGAAGCTGTCCCGTGCAGAATTCCTGCAGATTCAACAAGCTTCTGCTTGCAGGATCTGCCTGGAACCACTTATAACAAACATCCCCACAGAATGCTGTCAAACACTTTGGTTTCCCCTTTTCCAAACAACAGAAAAATCCTGCTAAAATACAACACTGCGATATATCCCAGTTCCCATCCCTCTCCATTTACATTCCGCTCTGAGCAAACACCTTTGTAGACAACCCCTGTAAATCACAGACACTGAAAACCCAATCCAGCTCCTTGACAAATTCAAGAGTAACTCAATCCTCCAGCTAGGAAATAAGGTATTATGCTCTCACATTGTTGGGAGAACAAATGAGGCCTTAAAAACAAATAATAACACGTTATTTCCCTTCCTATCCCTCCGATACAACCGATTAAAAAAGTAACAATAGGCTACTGTACCCTCTTTGCCACCACACACACTGAGCAGGGCTCATCCCTTGCAAACCCCTGTTAGAGAGGCCTGTGAACGAGGAGCCCATGTGTTATTCTGTTTTTTATGAACTCCACCACCCTGGGAGGAATCAGCAGCTCTCTCCACAAACAGAAACAGTGATGGCACTTGGCTTGCAGGGTTTGCACGCCAGTGCCCAGCTCTGCCCACAGACCACAGGGTGGTTATTCCAAGGCTTTAGAAGATAAATATTTAGACAGAAACGCTGCTGGAGGAGTCTTTAAAATGGAAAGCTTGCTCGCCTTGCTGGTGAGCCTACAATGATGTACATATATATAGATATAAAAATATACTCCCATCTGCTTTAACACCCTTGATGTCGCCTCCCTCGCCCTGGCGGGGATCAGGTCCCAGCCTTGCACTGAAACCCCTCTGGAGGGACCCTCACCCGGCCACAGCCCCACGGCCTCGCCCATGTTCCCCTGAGGCAGAGGAGCCCCAGCCAGGCGGCTATTCTTAAAAATAAATCAATAAACTGCAGCAGGGCACCCCCAACCCCCACGCCGGCTCCGGCCTCCGCAAGCCGGGGAGCTCCCCCGGCCGAGCCCGCCGTGAGGGGCCGCGCTCCGGGCCCCCCGCGACCCCCGCCCGCGCCCGCGGCCTCACCCCGCTCGCGTCCCGCCCGGCGGCTCCTCCCGCTCCGGCTGCGGCCCCGCCCGCCTCGCTCCAGCTCCGGCTCCGGCTCCGGCTGCAGCTCCGGCTCCGGCTGCGGCTCCTCCCGCGGCGGGGCGGGCGCGGCCCCGCTTCCGGCTTCCGGCATGGTCCGGCCCGGCCCGGCCCGGCCCGGCCTGGGGAGCTGGCAGTGCCCGGGGAACCGGCACAGCCCGGCCTGGGGAGCTGGCACTGCCCGGGGAACCGGCACAGCCCGGCCCGGGTAACACTGCACTGCCCGGGGAACCGGCACTGCTCGGGGAACTGGCACTGCCCAGCCCGGTAACACTGCACTGCCAGGCACAGCCTGGCCCGGGGAACCGGCACTGCCTGGAGAACCAGCCTTTCCCGGCCCGGGGCCTGCACACCGTCCGGGGAACCGGCTCTGCCCAGGAAACACTGCACTGCCCGGCACGGCCCGGCCCGGGGCCTGCACACCGCCTAGGGAACCCAGCATTGCCCGGGGAACCAGCATTGCCCGGCCCGGCCCGGCCCGGGGCCTGCACACCGCCCAGGGAACACTGCACTGGCCGGGGAGCCCAGCACCGCCCGGGAAACCAAGCATTGCTCGGGGAATTGGCCCGCACACGGCCCGGAGAACCCAGCACTGCCCAGAACCCCCCACACCACCCGGGGAACCCAGCACTGCCCAGAACCTCCCACACCACCCGGGGAACCCAGCACTGCCCAGAACCCCCCACAACACCCGGGGAACCCAGCACTGCCCAGAACTCCCCACAACACCCGGGGAACCCAGCACTGCCAGAACCCCCCACACCACCCGGGGAACCCAGCACTGCCCGGAACCCCCCACACCCCCCGAGGCCCTCAACACCCGGCCCGGCCCAGCCTGGGACCCCCGACACTGCCCAGGACCTCCCAACACCGTGCTCGGCCCAAAGCCCCAACAGCCCCCAGGTCCTCACCAACACCTGTCCCTCTGCTGCCCCAAACACCCCTCAGGATCCCCCAACACTGCCCTGGGACCCCCAACACCTGAGCCGGCCCCAGGGCCTCCCAGTGCCACGAACATCCCTCAGGACCCCCGACCACCCTAGTACCTCCCAATAGCCCCCAACACCCGCATCCCTCCCCACTGGCACCCCCAATGTCCCACTGAGGCTCCTTGCACATGTTTCAGCCCAGAATATGGAGACCCCGTTTTCCAGCACCCATCTCAGTCCATGATTATCCTTAACCCAGACCAGCCTGAGCCTCCCCTGCATTATGAGAGCTCCTCAGGACCCCCGAGGCCCTTCCCAGCACCCATATGAACCTACAAATATCTTGAGACCACACCACTCACAGACCCCCCCCAAGAAACACCCGATCCCCCAGGCCCCCACCAGCACCTTAAGACATCCCACACAGCACCCACATGAACTCTCAGCATCTTCCTGAGCTCAGCACACTCAAGACCCCCCAGAACCCCCAAAATCTTTCACAGCCACATCCCACAGCATCCCTAACTCCTCCCTCCACCCCCCAGCACCCCATTAGTCCCAGTACTACCCCACAGCCCCCCAGACCCTCCAGCACCCACTGGGAGACCCACACAGTTCCCCCTTGAACCCCATTTATCCCCAGCCCCATCGGGGACACGAGTGCCCATTCCAACAGGTGAAGTGGCAAGCACTGAGAACACAGTTAACACCCCTTAAAAAAATGTGGGAAAGCCCTAAAAACTCAGAGAAAGGCTTTGAGGAGTAAAGGGCTGGAGATGGGGGAAGAGAAGGTCTCTAGAGGCACCCCTGGCATGAAAAACTTGGGAGAATGCAGGAGCGAGGGGTCCCAGCCTCACCCTACTCTCAGACATGAGCTTCAGTCCTTAACTGCAATTAAACATATTTTCAGTCTTGATTTTGGTGTGATGAGCGTTTTTGGTATCTCTCCGATGCATTTTCATAGAATCCTAGGATGGTTTGGGTTGGAAGAATCTTAAGGATCATCCACTCCCCCTGTTCCACTAGACCAGGTCCCCTTTAGAGCAACCTTGTTTAAATTTCAGCCTTGTTTAAGTTCTCTGCCTCAACAACTTCCTGCAGCACTGAGTTCTGCAGATGAATTAAACATTGCAAGAAAAAGGACTTCCTCTACCCAGGTTTGGATTTCCTGCCCTGTCAATCCCAGCCCGGGGAGTGGGATTGTCTCCTCATCTCGATTTTACTGCCTTTGCAGGGGGTGAAATTTTGAGAGACACTCCTGGGCAAAACCCAAGTCCCATGGCTGGGGCACTGAAAGCCGTGGTTGAAGATTTGTTCCAACTTGTCAGAAGCTCGTGTGGGTTTTTGGCTTCCAAGGTGGATTCATCCAAGCAGGACGTGGTAAATGCCCACTGATTTTGGGCTGCTAGCCGAGATCTTCCCAATCTTGGCTTGGCTGAGGCAGCTCCTCTAATTCTTGTGGAGTGCCTTGAGGAATTTCAAACAGCTTAAAAGGAAACCACCTGATTTAAAAAAAAAAAAGCATTCTGTGGTCCAAACAAGTATGCATTTCCCTCTTGCTATTAATATCCCAGGCCTTGATCCTCCTCCAAATACTCGTGCAGGCGTTTAATGGCTTGCAAAGGAGCGGTGCCTTTGATCCTGGAGTGGGAATGTTTGCTGGGATGTGAATTATTAAAGGTGAAAGATGTTTTCAAGTGCAACATGCTGCCCATGTTTTCCAATGTGATTTATTGCCTGCCTGGTGTTTCTCCCAGCCTGGCAATGAAAAATTCGTTTCCATGTTTGGCAGGGAGCTTTGGAGCGGAGTAACTCATGCTTTGGGCACAAACTCCATCTTTTTTTCTAGAGATGATTTCCAGGGGGATCAGATCGACATTTCTTTCTGCCTGTTCTGGGAAGCCTTTTGTTTTTCAGCTCCCACTTTGGGCCCTGTTTGAGCTCCCTGGTCCTTCCCTGCAGCAGCAATATTGCAGTGGGGAGGAATTGCTGCAGCTGCTGCCATCTAATGGGAAAATTCAGCCTCCACGGCCTCAACTCTTCATTTTAGAATCAAATAAAACAATTTCTTGCACAATCCTGCTGCCACTCGGCCAAGCAGTGTCTTCCACGTGCAATCCCAGCATATTTAGGCAAAAGGAAAAGCTGATCTGACAGGTGGCTTTACAAGGGGAAATGTTACAGACCCAGCAGAAAGAAGTTTTTGGGTTGATCAGGCTGAAATGGTGCTTCTCTTATTACCGATCAAATTTCCAGTGTACACTTGGATTTATATTATTTTTAAATAAAAGAAGAAATAGTGAAGAGGGTCCCAAACAATAAGAAAAAGCCATTCCAGATATCCCAAATACAAAACCCAGGCACAGCTCTGAGCTGAGCCACATAAATCCTTCCTGAGGAGCTGCTCCATCACTAAAGATATTGTATAAAGAAATACAGTAAGGAGGGATGGACAGGGAATGGGAGCATTAAATATATTGCATTAAGAAAATTAATGATGGGGCAAAAGGAAAATTATTTGAGATAGGCTGGGGGGAGACATAGAGGTTGGAGACTTAGGGTACAGAGGTACTAGAGTGATAAATTGGGGTGTGCAGGAGAAATAAATCATCCTTAAAAGACTCAGAAATTCCAGAGTCGCTGCAAAGTTGGACCCTGATAGATAAAAAAGATATATAATTATATATGAGAATATATAGTGTTGCTAGAAGCCCAACTCCTGTTTTTCTTTATTTTTCTAAAGCACAAACTGGCTGCTATTATGCTTTGCCATTACATACATATTAATAATAATGGCAACAAAAAGCAAACCCAACTAGGCAGAATTATTTCCTCAAACTCTGCACATAAGCACAGTCTTTAAATACACCTGTTGAACTGCTGAGATTTACATGGAACATAAAAAATACTAAAATATAGCACTGGTATTCTTATTTATTTAGCCTGTAGGTCTTTTTTTCTGCTAAAAATCAGCCGTGAAAAGATAACAAAAACTCTCTTGAAATTATGACATGTGTTTATTTAGATTTTTCAAGCTGGATTTAGAACCAATTCAGCACTTCACAAAGAGCAGAAGAGCAGGATGCTGCAGCTTGTTCATCTCTGCCCAGTCTGAGATAGGCTGCAATGAAAAAAACCTCTTGCAAGCATTTATCTTCTTATCCTGGATGTGCTCTTGGGGATTTTGAATTTATTTTGAGCAAAATAGTCAGTAGTTTCTTTCAAGCCCCATCACTGCTCTCTGGCAAGATAAGCCAGGGAAGGGGAAAATTAGCTTTACCTTGTCTCATTGGAGAGATTTAAGTGCATTTAGAATATATTGAATATCTCATTGTTCCTGATCAAATCCAATCTGATTGCAAACCAGAGCAGAAGTCCCCACAGCCCAGAGCACCAACAGCACAAAACCCCCTTGTTTTATACACTTGGATGGCTTCAGGTTTTCATTTCATCTATCCCAAGGCTTGGGTTTACCCCCTCCTTTTCTGCCTCTTTTCTTGGCCTGTTCTTGGTCTCCAAAAGAAAGTGCTAAAGTTCCCTGAGAAGTATTTTGGGGGTCTGGTGTGCTCTGGGGGAATGGCAGCGGGTCCCCCACAGCAGCTTTTGCTCTCAGCATCCAAGGAAGATCAGGCAAGGGAGACACACAGGAAAAGAGAAGGTGTCCAAGGTTTATTTTTATGCTTTTCTGGCTGTTGGTGCAGTTTCAGATCAGTGTGTGGGGTGTCTGTCCATCACCAGCAGCAGCCCTTTTTCTTCTGGGGTGCCTTTGGTACCTCTTCAACCTTATTTTTCAATTCATCTTCACGACTTTTGAGCAACCTGGGAGAAAAGAAAGCACATCAGCTGGGTATTTCCCCCATATTTTGTATTTCTGTGCTGTTTGTCTTGACAAGCCTTGGTACAAGAGGCTCAGCACAGCTGAAAGGAGTCGGGATCCTTCCAGCTCTGCAGGATCTAAGAGCTGTGGGTGCTGCTAAAAACGCCAGCCTAAATCAAATCACAGACAGAACTTGTTTCAGTCAAGACAGGGAGAAATCAGCAGCATCCCCAAGAGGGTTTTATTCATCTCCTTGCAATGCTGGTTCTTCAGGAGACAAGTTAGGGCAGTGCTAAGTGCTCATCCCAGCATGTGCTGCCCTGAGTTTTCCCTGACATTTGGGCACTGGTGACAGTGACATGCCAGCATTTAGAGTTAAAAAAGCAGAGAGGGAGCCCATTAAACTGAGGACAGCTGGAAAAGTCCCAGCTCATGGCTCACCTGATGAAGCTGACCATGGACTCGAAGACGTTGTGGCCCGAGGCAGCGCTGCACTCGTAAAACATGAGCTGATGCTCCTGGAAGACACAACCCCAAATAGAAATGTAATGTTCTTGCACTGGAATTGCTTCATGTGGGAATAAATAGCCATGGGACAGTCCCAGTCAAGGGGAAACAGGAGGGAATCAAGGAAACAAATAACTCAATAACATTTACTGGAACATGAGGGTGAAATCCAGATTTTCTGGTTGCTACGACACCAGATTTTAATACCAAGGAAAAGGCTGACTGTGCAGAGAGAAGAATTTGTGATGCCTTCTGGTTAGGGGAGTGAACACAGAGAGAGAGGCATAACTAGATGTTCCCAATTCTTTTGTTCCCTACCAGTTTGGGAAAATCAGCATCTATCCCTCACCTCCATTTTTTAAACTGGTCCATGGATTCTGGCCCAAGTCCCATAAGCTTTAAAATTAAGTCAGGAACGGTGAGATTCTTCTCATTCTCCTCACCTAATTTTTATTAGCCATCTATGTTTGAAAAGATTAATCCAACTTTGATCATTTCAGTATCTTTAAACCAGGATAGTGCTCAGTGGGTTTATTTTTTATGATTCTGGGAAGATACTCAACACGTCACAGCAAAGATAAGCAGAGCTGAAAATGTTTTAATTTACAAATCCAGTTCCATAAACCAATTGACTGGCATGGTGCTGAGGCAAAATTAAAGTGGCAAAGGGACAGCAAGGCAGGGAAGGGTGAGAGATGGGCTCAGAGAAATTTTGTCAACTGCACTGATGCATGAGGGGTAAATGAAGGGCTTTCCCTTTTCTGCAGCTTTTCAGGTTGGTGGTGTCCATCCTCAGCTGTGCCTGCCTTACCTTGGCCAGGCATTCCCCCTCCTTTGTAGGGACCTGTCTCTGGGCAGCACAGTCGGTTTTGTTCCCGAGAAGCAGAACAGCAACTCCATCCTCTGCTGCTTCCTGAGTGAGAAAGAAAGGAAGATCAGGACAGATTCAAAATCTTCCCTGAATCCCAGATGGCCACACTGTCCACACATACCCTGGAACACCATGACTGACACCCATGGATTTGGGCTAATAACAAAACTTTAAATTCTTAAATAAATTCAACAGCATTTAAGAAACTATTTTCTTTCCCCTAAATCATCTGCCTGTGTCTATTAACAGGACAGAGCACTGATGTGATGTAATGAATTCACTTTGTGCTCAACTGCAGCAGCCTTCTGAAGGTGCTCTGGCTGGGATTTACAGGCAATATCCTATTTTGTTTCAGTGTTTCTAAACACTGGCTTTGTGTCAACTGTAAATCTCTGAAAATAAGTTTTTAATAAGCCTTTAATCACTTCCCATTCTCCAGGACTCAAAGTGGACTATTCTTGATGTAAAAGCAACATTTCCCATTCCTTTGCACTAGTTACTAATTGTTTTTTAACAATTGTTAGAGTTGATCATTACCCTGCTGGTGCTATTAACAAATTACCCTGGGAAACCCTGCCAGCGCGTGAAAATCGTCTGTATCTGACTCAGATCCTCCACGAGAAATTATTTTATAATGAAAGCAATGCAGAATGCCCTTTCCAAAGGGCTTGGCCACTCCTGTGAGTCCCAGGAGCTCGGGACCTCCCCCACCTGGATGCAGCCGAGCCAGTAGCGCACGTCGCAGAAGGAGCACTCGGAGGTGATGTCGTACATCAGCACCACCCCGTCCGCCCTCCGGAAAAACTGCTTGGTCACGCTGCGGTACCTGTGGGATTTGGGAGAGTCACAGGATGGTCTAAGGGGGTTCTGCCTACTGGAAAAGGTGGGAATGCAGGTCTACGAAACAGGCAACCCCCAGATTTGGCTCTTGTCCTAATGGCAGGGGCAGCAGGAACAGCCTGAGTGCCAGTTTTATCTTAATTACTTCCTTTATTATGCTTTTATCAGATCGCATACTGTACAGAGTCCCTCCTTGAGCAATCTCACCTTTGCTTAGCAAAACCAAGAAGATTCATTGCCCCTAAACTACAGGAAAAAAAAAAAGCCACCCATGTTGTGTCCTTAAGCAGCTCACCTTTCCTGACCAGCTGAGTCCCACAGGCGGAGAGTGAAGCGCTTGTTATCCACAACGAGGTTTTTGATCTGATAATCCAGTCCTGGAAGACACAAAAGAGGATGTTTTGATACTGTAGAGTTCTGCCCTGTGCCAGAAGATGGATGGAGAAGCAACATGGTGCAGGGTGGTCTGAGGCTGCAGCTCCAGGGGTTGCCTTGGAAAGGCTGACCTGGAATAGAGACCAGACAGAGCAAAAGGAATAAAATAGGTATTTATTGAGAGGATCCACCTCGGGCAGTGCAAGAGCCTGGCCAGGGCTACACCCAAATCAAATCCAAGATGGATCCCAGTCACGAATCTTTACACTTCCATAAGTTTTGGTTCATCTACACATTGGGGTCAATTATCCACCCACAGCCCCAGGCTATGAAGTCTCAGCCCCCTGGTTTGCCTCCTTTCCCTCGCTGTTATTTCTCATTTTTGGATATCAGCTGTCCTTGATTCTCCAGCTGGGAAGGGATTGCTTTGTCCAACTCCCCTGTGAAGAGAACTTACCAACAGCTAATATGAAGTTTCAGAGTTACACACTAAGCAGAAGATATTCTGAAAAATGTAAAAGCTAAAACCTAAGGCATCACAGGGTCCCAAGTGAACCTCTGGCTTTTAGAAGTTTAATCGCTGGATTTTGGGAAGGTCACTCATCTCATGATGAATAAAACCAGGTTGGTGAAGAGAGGAGACTGGAGCTGAAAGGCAAAGCAGAGAGGAAAGCCCTGGGCCATGTCACTGGTGCCCTAGGGAGGAGCAGCATTTCCTGCCCATGAGCATCCAGGCGTGGGGACTTGGGTTCTGCTTGGCCCCTGGGGACTGATTGTTCAACACGCTTGGCATGAGCTGTAACAAGCACGTGGTGAGCTCCAGCAGCTTTTGGGGTGGAGGAAAGGGAATTGCAGTGATCCAAGTGAGTGCTTGGAGAGGGAATGGAGGAGACCTACCCACAGTGGCAGTGAGGTGGGGGTTGAAGGTGTCGGCGTGCAGTCGGTACAGGAACGACGTCTTGCCCACGTGGGAGTCCCCAACGAACAGCACGTTGTAGAGGTGCTCTGGGTCCAGGGAACCTTTAGGGCAACCCCTTGGGGCAGCTCCTGCCCCACCTGCAGTCACAGCCCCTGGCTCTCCTGGGCTGGGCTTGCCTTCCTGGCTCATTTTCTGACCAAGCTCTTGCATCTTCTCTTGACCAACACTGAGGTCTTTGTTCTGTTCTCCCAAGAGCTGCCTTTGCCCCAGTGAGTTATCTCTGGGGTCCATCCCCAGCTGATCACCCCCAGCACCTTCTGGCTGCACTGTGGTGTGCAGTGTTGATGCTGGCACCTCTTGCTTTGGATGCTCAGCAGATCCAGCAGCCGTGTGCTCTGGTTCCATCGTGGGTGGTGTCTCCCCCTCTGGCTGTTGGGTCACTGTGTGAAGCCTCCCCTCATGTCCCTGTGCTGAAACCTGCTCCTGAAGCTCCCTTTGGGCTGCCTGTCCCGGAGCACAAAGCCGCCACACATCTGGAACGAGAACATCCCCCTGCATCATCGTTCCCAGCTTTTGGGGGCTGGTTTGTAACGGCACCTCTGAGACCAGGGAGGCCAATACAGCGTCATCGTGGCCCTGGTTTAGTCCTAGACTCTGAGTTTTCACTCCATTCCTCAGCCCTGCCTCCAGCCTCTCTCCCTGTGCCACTTCCAGACCGTGAGCTCCATCCAGAGACTTCCCCTCTGCAGGAGCCCTCTCTCCCTGCAGTAATTCCTCCAGAGTCAGCCCCTCAGCACCAATGCATGCTCCCAGTTTTGCTTCCAGACCAGGGCCCTCTGCAGCAGTGACAGGCTCAGGACACAAAGCAGCCTCAGTTTTAGGGGGCACATCTGCAGCAGCAGCTCCTTCCCATGGGTTTGCAGTGGGAGATGCACCCAGAACTGCCTCCAAACCTAGACTCAGGCTCTGCTCCCATTCCCACATCCCAGCTGCACCCAGAGGTGTCAGATCTGTCTCCGTGCTCCCTCCTGAGCCTGATTTGGGCTTCTGCTGATCAGGGAACAGCTGCACATCAGTATCAACGCTCTTGGCCTCCAGTGTGGCCAGGCTTTCAGCCTCCTCCTGTGATTGTACTCCTGCACCAGCCCCCTCTCCCTGTCGGCCTCGTGCTCCTTCTGGAGCAAGCACAGACTCCTGTGGCAGCTCATTCTCACCCTGTCCTTGTGCCCCATCCTCCTCATTCTGAACAGCTCTTCCCCACTCCCCTCCCCATGGAGCCTTTGGGCTGAGACCCACACAGAGCTGCAGATCAGCCCGGGCATCCTCTGCCTCCCCTTCCACTAACTCTGCTTTATCCCCCTGATCCTGGGAATGCACCTCTGAATCCAATCTCCCTCCCTTCTCTGTGCCCAGGGATCCAGCCTCACCCATGAGCTGCAGATCTGCCTCTGTGCTTTCTCCTGAGGCTGATTTGAGCTCATCCCCCTCTGCAATCACCTGCACATTGCCACCACTGCTCTGCTCCTCAGTATTGTTCAGGCTTTCAGCCTCCTCCTGTTCTTGCATGTCTTCCCCAGCCCCCTCTCCCTGCCCAGCTCCCGATCCCTGCAGATGAGTCACTGGCTGATGTGGCAGCCCATGCTCACCCTGTCCTTGTGCCCCATCCTCCTCTTCCTCCAGCT